ACTTCAGGTGTTATATCTTTTGGTAGCCAAGCATCATCCGCTTTCTTCACCACATTTTCTTGTGCACCCATTGTGGGAAGAGGGGATTTTAACAACAAAACAACACTTTTTGCCTGGCACATACTGAGATTTGAAAGACATTCCTCCTTTCTCTGTCTCAAGCTCCCGCTCCCTTTTCTCTCCAGACAGTGATCAATGTAAGGAGTGCCGCCAAAGTTACCATCCCAACATTGAGCGTAATAGCTGTGTGCCGAAACTCATAACCTTTCTGGCTTAGGAAGATCCTTTAGGGATAACTGGCCTGTACAGCTCTGTACTTCTCTTCATCACTGTCATGGTCTTGTAGATCTTTGGGAAACTCCAAGATTCTCTCATTGGCAAGGCCAACAACCAGTCCCTCAACTACATTCTGCTCCTTTGCCTCCTCTTGTGTTTCCTCTGCTCCTTACTCTTCATCAGCCATCCAAACACAGCCATGTGTATCCTCAGAAATATCTCCTTCAGATTCATATTCACTGTGGCTTTTTTCAATGTTTTGGTGAAATCCATCACTGTGATACTGGCATTCAAGGCCTAGAAACCTGGAAGAACAGTCAGGTGGTTGCTGATGTCTGGGGCTTCTAACTCTGTGACTACTATCTGCTCCCTGGTCCAAGTGATTATCTGTGGGGTCTGGCTAGGAATCTCTCCCCCTTTCATTGGCATAGACACACACTAAAGTCCAGGAACATCATCATTGGGTTAAACAAGTTTCAGTCACTATTTTCTACTGTGTCTTGGGATACCTGGGTTCCTTGGTCCCAGGGACCTTTTCCCTGGCTTATCTGGCCAGGAACCTGCATGACATCTTCAATGATGTCAAGTTCCTGATATTCAACTTGCTGGTATTCCGCAGTGTCTGGGTCACTTTCCTCCTTGTGTACCACAGCACCCATGCAAAAGTCACGGTGGGTATGGAGTTCTCCATCTTGGGCTCCAGTGTGGGGTTACTAAGTTGCATCTTTACTTCAGTGCTACCTTATCTTCCTGAGGCCAGATAGAAACACATAAAAATGATTAAGAAATCAAACATCTTCAGGTTTAAAATAATCCAAATCTTGCTGGCCTATTTTCCCCATAGATTTCACAGAAAAAAGATTAACATAAGCCTGAAAAATAAACTACCACATTCTCCCCGTCAGAATTTAAGGAACGGCTACATCTCCTTACAACTCCTGCTTTGTTTATTATTTTTCGATGCTGTGGAGTATTTTCCTACTCACAGTAACTCTGTGTCACAGCGGAACCTGTCCCAGACCTGTGCCATACTTCAATGCTTTCATTTGAGTCTATTGTTGCAGCCACTGTGTCAGTAACTCTGGTTGAGGGTCTTCTTTGTTTTCTGACCTTTCACTTTACCAAGCATGGCATCCTTCTCTAGAGATGGTCTCCGTTGTTAATAAGTCTCTGAGATAACTTAATAAGTATATGTTAATAAGTATATGAGATAAAGTCTTGCCATTCTCACTTCTGCAGAGCATTCTGGCTGTACTTCTTCCAACATAGATTTGCTTGTTTTCCTAGCAAACCACTTATATCCAATATTCTTTGCCAACACCATAAATCAAATGCTTTGATAATTCTCCAGTCTTTTTTTCATGGCCCAGTTTTGCATGTCTATAAGGTGATTGAAAATACCATGGCTCCAGTCAGGTGCACCTTAGTACTCAGAATGAAAGACCTCTTTTCTTGGAAACACTTTAAAGAAGTCTTGTGCAGATTTAAAGAGCACCAATGGTTCCGTGCGTTACATGTCAGGCTACTAACCACAAAGTCAGCAGTTTGAAGTCTCTGGTTATGAGAAGGATGAAGCTTTCTACTCCTGTAAATATTTACAGCTTCAAATCCCCACAGGGGCACTTATATTTTATTTTATACCAACTCTATGCATTTTCAGTTTTTCAGTTTTTGCAGATTTATCCAACTAAAATATCTGTTTTAATTTTGGGGGGTGGTTGTTTCTCTGCATGTTGGTTGTGGATTCCATCTAAATCAAAGACTTGACAACTTTTGTTAACTATATTTTTACTTTTATTTTGTGTGTTAGTCTGGGTACTTTAGAGAAACAAATCGACAGAACTCATGTATTAGAGAGA